TGGATTAGGATATGAACTATGATTCTCTTTAGGTAGAAAAAGATCCACGATGTTCGACCTGGTAGAAGTGTGTAATCAAACCGCACAGCATTGGTCTTTGATTGACTGTGGCGTCAAAACAAACTCATTCATGTACTTGATCTGAATGTTCATCTTAATTGTTATGGATAGTCACGGAGCCGTGATCCAGAGAACAGGGTGTCATTAAATAAAAATGAAGTAATAATAGGATTACCAGAAAAACGGGGTATAACGCCCAAGCCAATAACCTCCCCTCAGGAACACCAGAGTAAGTCAGTACAAGATTGAAAATTGCCCCATAAGTTTGTATGACAGGCTAGTCGGGTATTGCTACTTGTATATGTGAAAACAAAGTTTTTAAAATTAATAGCAAAACTGATGAAAGTCACTAATAAACGTGTATAAGTGTTATATCATCACTGCAAAAATAATGAGTGTTGTCTTTAGTATTAACATTCAAATACGTGATATCTGTATTAGCGGTGTCTAGCCGTGAGAGCCACATTTCAGAAATGGCTATTGCCGGTAGAGCCACATTTTCAGCTGAGTGCATTTCACCTATTCTAGCGGGTAGTCACGATATTAGCGATATTGTCTACGTTCCACCGGTGAGTAAGCTTTAGGCTTACTATCTCGTAGTATAAATGTTGCAAGAAATTGTATTTCTGAAGACATCACGATACAGTTTTTTACGATGCATCACGTCTGCACCAGCGCTTGATAACAGCCTTGTGTTTGGGTGTTTCAGTAGTTTAAATTGCTGTTCTTGATGTTGTTGAATAAACTTTGATACTATGAACAATATAAGGTTATATGAGAGTATGACTTTAGAATGGTAACATGCGTTAATGTATATCTGATATATATATATATATATATATATATATATATATATATATATATATATATATATATAATAAGATGACATAAATAGAACAATGACTAGTACGTCCAGATTAGTGTATAGGCAACATTTAAAAGTAGATGAAAGAACACAATCGTCCGGAATACAGTGTATAATTCTGGTGCACTTCCATGTGACTCTTCAATTTAAATGGAGTTACTTGTTTCTTTCAAAACTATACAGTTTTACAGACTAAGCATTAGTCTGAATAGATATCACCAGTTTGGAATTTGAAACTAATCTGTTTACAGTAACAGAACTATGTTTAAGTGTCATGAGAAAGTGGAATCCCGTCAATTAGGCGGACGAACCTTAATACTATTAATAAACATTAAAATAAGCAATATCTGGAAAATGTATATGCATATACTATCTGGCAATAAACACCAAGATCACCTTCTACAAAAATAAGTTTTAAAAGCAGGTTGATATTCTTTTGCGTATTTGACGAGTATATAACTTTCGAAAGTATAAATCCTTTTCCTATACTCAGACGTGTCTGAGCCTTGCGCTTTCCTAATTATTTTGACTAAAATTATTACCGTTATCATTGTATTTGTTAATGGGAAATACGCGCCGATCAAGTACGTGCCATAAATTAAAGCGACATTGTACGATTCCGAACTCATCACGAGACTGTGTTTATGAATCACTGTTAAATAGTGGTGACATATAGTGGAAACAATACGCGAAATCGCGCATGCACAGAACGGAAAATTTGGACAAGGCATTAAGCAATCCGCATGCGCAGAACGATTGATTTCAGTACTTCCGCTAAGTAGACGCTGTTGCTTGATTGACAATGCCAATCAAGAAAGGGAGGAGCTTGATGATATCGTTCTCTCCTAGTAAATTCCGATGTCAAATAACGACGTTATTTGGACGGAAAAACGATGGTTTCAAAGCGTCCAAATAACGTCGTTTTTCCGTCCAATGACCATATACGGAAAAAACGACGTTTTCGTGTTTGCAGTGTTAGTTGTCTCATAATTAACCAAAACATAAGCCCAAGAAACCAAACTCTAGCTCGCAAACACCCCTTACTCACCCCAATATCCAAAAGAATAACTAACTACCTCAATGAACACCAAACTCAAAATCTTAAACAAAACTGAAAAAAATCAAATATCTTCACCCCTAAACTCAAAATACCCAAAATAGACACAACGCTAGCTAACCAAATAAATAAACAAACCGACCCAAACATAGCTAAAACCACTACAATTGCATACATACATGAAAATTGGCCAAATGGGTGTCACATATACACTGACGGATCTTCAGACCCGATCTCCAACCACACAGGCTTCGGAGTCCATACCACACAACCAGTTATATCCACACAATCTTACCGACTCCCTAACAACCAATCTATATTCACGGCCGAACTTATTGGCATGGCCTCAGCCCTGCATAACCAACAATCTAAAAACAACAATAAAATCCTAATTCTCACCGACTCCCTTAGTGGACTACAAGCCCTCCAAAACAAAAATACCAAAAAACGACCTAAATTAATAAACCAAATACTTAAAATCTCCAACGACCTAACAAAAGCAGGCAAACAAATAACCTTCTTGTAGATCCCCGCCCACGTAGGAATTTACGGCAACGAAAGCGCCGATAAAGCAGCTAAATTATCTCTTAAAATACCAGAAATAAGCCTAAACCTACCCATCTCAAAATCAGAAATTAAAAGTGTAAACAAACAAAAAATAACACAATCAATATCAAAACTCAAATAGCCAAATCAAAAAAGTGCTCAGAAAACCACTAGCCAAACCTAAAATCCTACACCCCTCTAAAAAAATTGACAGATTAATTACAAAACTCCAAACAGGACACACGAACCTAAATAACCACCTAAAAAAACTTAAAAGACACACCACAGGCAACTGCCCCCACTGCAAACAACCCGAAACCACAGAACACGCACTCATCCACTGCACCCACTACCAAACACACAGAACCACACTACAAACCAACCTCAATCTAAATAAGGTTCCTACTCTAGATGAACCACTAAACCCTCAAAATAAACTAGAAAACTTCAAGGCCCTAGGCGTATTCCTAATCAAAACAGACCTAATTAAGCGCATCTAAAAACTAATTAATCTACCAATCCAAAATCCAATAAAAATACAAACACCCACCTAAACCGGCTCCCTTAGTTCCCTCCTCCACCCACCTCGGCATTTATTCCAAATTTAAAAATCTCAAAAATTCAATATAAGCAACCCCTAAAAGCCCCCTCTTGGGTTGCACACACCACTTTCACCTTTTTCGGAATACACTAAATGGTCCGGCCAGGCCCGTGTGCGAAATACGCTGCAGTCGGAAAGCGAACGTTAAATCTTCTATATCAGCCAGTAGTTGTCTCAGCACTACACAATCAGCAATCTAAAAAACAAAAACAAAATCCTCATCCTAACCGACTCCCTCAGTGGACTACAAGCCCTCAAAAATAAAAACACTAAAAACCACCCCAAACTAATAAATCAAATACTTAATAGCTCAAACAACTTAACTAGGGCAGGTAAACAAATAGAGTTCATTTGGACCCCCGCCCACGTAGGAATCTTTGGAAATGAAAAGGCAGATAAAGCAGCAAAATTATCCCTTTAACTCCCAGAAATAAGCTTAAACTTACCCAGCTCAAAATCAGAAATCAAAAGTCTCACTAAACAAAAAATCAACAAAAAAATGGCAAAATATATACCAAAACTTAAATAGCCAAATCAGGAAAGTACTCAAAAAAAACCTAAATAAACCAAAAATACTACACCCATCCAAAATAATCGACAGAATAATTATTAAACTACAAACAGGCCGCACCAAACTAAATAATCACCGTAAAATAGCTAATCTACACACAACAGGAAACAGCCCACATTCCAAACAACAAGAAACACCAGAACACGTACTCACTCACTGCACACACTACCAAACACACCAAACAACACTACAGATCACCCTAAATCTTAAAACCGGACTTACACTAGAATCAATCCTAAATCCATAAAATAAATTAGAAAAATTCAAAGCCTTAGGTTTATACCTAATTAAAACAGGACTAATTAGTCGCATTTAAACCCCAAATAAAATAATAAAACCAAAACTACCTTATCTAACAACCACCCAACACACACAGCTCCCTTAGTTCGTCCCCCACCCACTCTTGGCATTCTTTCCAAATCTCAAAATTTAAAAATTACTATATAAGCAACCCCTAAAGCCCCTAATTCATAGTCTTTTTATTGTTCAAATTACTGATAAAACATATTTTAACTTGTTCCTTCTAACCATATTTCCAAACAATTCAAAACCATTCCAAACCATTCCAAGTCATTCCAAACATTTCCAGTGTTGGAAATATGTTTGGAAATGTTGCCATTCCAATTTTGGATTTTTTGGAAAGATCGATCTTTCCAAGCTTTGGACAGTTTGGAATGAGCGATCTTTCCAAAGCATACCAACGTTCATTCCAAATTGGAATGGACGCTATTTGGTCTTGTGAAAGTATTAAGTGATATCTTGCATGCTTGACATTCGGAGTATCAATTCCTTCCTTCTGGCAGCCGCCGTCAATTATCAATGTTGTGAACAAACAGGGCCGGATTCCCTCATACCATATGATTTGTTTGTTTGTTTGTTTGTTGTTTAACGACCCACTCAGCAATATTCCAGCTATATGACGGCGGTCTGTAAATAATCGAATCTGGACCAGACAATCCAGTGACTGACTTCATGAGCATCGATCCACGCAATTGGGATCGAGGACATGCATCAACCAAGTCAGCCACCCTGACCACCATGAAGACCAGTTGTAACCCGGATCTTCAACGGGGTGTAATTCATATGTGATATGTCTGATAGTTGTGCATTTACAAGAAGCTCTACGAAATGTTCTCTCAATGCATTATAACCTTTTTTATTTGCCACACCATTCTAACCCGGATCTTCAAGGGGGTAATCCACTGAGTACACGTTACAGGTAATCACTGGGTCAGGCGAACACACCATATTGTGTGTCAATCCCAAGCACATGATCAGTAAATGTGCACATTACGTCACGAGAAGACATGTTATATAAGGAGGGTCTTAAGACTTCCTTGTTAGAACGTACATGGGCAAAGCTATCACTGGTTGCTGTGAATAGGGTAAGTTGACTTGGATCAAGCTTCAATTCTATTTTGAATTTGGCATGTGCTTTGAAATACCCCTATTGTTGGTCATGTCAATTAAATATGATCATGTGTAATGCTGTGATTGTGAAAATTGTTGAATGTTTCAAGAAAAGACTATCAATGCAGTTGTTGTGAGTTTGCACACATTGGATTTAAAACTCCATACTTTCATTGTTACCTCGTCTCGACTGAAGGCGAAGCTTGCACGAGGTTATCGAGTTCTAAGATCCTTGTATACACTTTGAATATGTCCTCATAGACCGCCTCTGTGGTCTAGTGGTAGAGCTTCCGCCCGTAGTGCGGAATGTCGGGGGTTCAAACCCCGGCCGTGTCATACCAAAAGACGTTGAAAGGTGATACTATACAATCTCAAAAAAGAAACGCATATAAGAATTTTAACAGACTACAGATTTATTTTTATTTTGATACACTGTTGACAAGTTAATAGCAAATGGAATTCGAAGAAAATGTTACACAGGAAATGTCAAGGAATCACTGATTAATAAGACAGCGGAAAAAGTCAGTTTATGAATCACAAATCGACTTTTGATGGCGCTGAAGTCAGCACCTCGTATGACCACCATTGGCGTTCAGAACTGCGCGACATCGTCTCGGCATAGAACGAATTAGTCTCTGAATCTGATGTTGCTGTAATGTAGCCCACTCTGCCTGTAGTGCATGTGCTAGTTGCTGGAGTGTCCGGGGCTGTGGGTTAAGCTGTCGCACCCGTCTGTCCAGGGCATCCCAAAGATGTTATATCGGGTTTAAGTCTGGTGATCTGGTGGGCCAGGGCAGCACCTTGATGTTCTCATTCTGGAGGAAGGCCCTCGTGACACGTGCCGTATGAGGTCTGGCGTTATCCTGCTGGAATAGCTCCCTCTGGCGGTTGATAATGGGAAGGAGGTGTGGACGAAGGACTTGATCGCAGTAGCGTTGCGCTGTCAGGTTGCCTTGGATCTACACCAACTCACTTCTTCCACACATCATCACGCTGTCCCGGCCGAATCTGTCCACCTGGGGGACACAGGCGTCGGCAAAACGTTCATGACGTCGTCTGTACACCCGCATTCTTCCATCGCGTCGTTCCAACAGAAATTTCGATTCATCGCTGAACCAGATTCGACGCCAATTCACCAAATTCCAGGCCATTGAACGCGATGAGGTCGATGCTGCTGACGCATAACGGGGCCAAAGTAGGGTCTTCTTGCTCTTTTAACTGCCTCTCGTAGTCTGTTCCTGACAGTCTGTGCAGATATCCTTCTCAATCCGGGTATTTGCCTAGCGGTAGTGGTCGCTGTAGCTGTTCGCTGACGCAGGTGATGTACCCGGATGTACCTATCTTGCGCCGCAGTGGTGACTCGAGGACGTCCACTTCTAGGTCCAGCTTCCACCGAGTTCTGCTGCCGATATCTCTCCCAGAGACGATAAATCGTGCTTTGATGAACATTCATTCGACGGGCAACTGTAAGTTGAGATTGTCCTGCTTCCAGGAGACCTATGGCGACGTGACGATTGGCGCGGCTCAGTCTTGGCATTTTGCGGTCTTCACAAACTTCCAAATAAAGTGAATGAAAAAAGACGGAGATCGATCTTTCATACCCATCCATGACACGATGTGATCCCCGAGTTTCCCGCGCATTGCACGTGCAATATGTGTTCTGTGACATTAAATGCGTCTATCGAAAATCATGCTTTAACATACGGGTTTTTCATGCGGGATGCGTTTAAGACAAAAACACCAGAAAAATCATAAACAAAACAAATATTTTTGAAAAACCCACCCTGTACCAATACATTGCTGCATCAAATTACCATTTGCGTTATGCGTTTCTTTTTTGAGAGAGTATATTTGTTACCCTGCCTGGCGTTCGGCATTAAGGGGCTAAAACAAGGACTGGTCTTCACAGAGTCAGTATACTGTGACTGAGTGAGGTATACATGCTAAACTGAGGTATCTTATCTCAATAGGTTAGCAATATGAAATAAATATAAAATCAGTCTGGACTACAAGTAGCCACACACCCACACACACACACACACACACACACACACACACACACATATATATATATATATATATATATATATATGTGTGTGTGTGTGTGTGTGTGTGTGTGTGTGTGTGTGTGTGTGTGTGTGTGTGTGTGTTTATACTGAGCCGCAAAAGAAACGTCACCCCAAGTGACATTGCATGAAAAGTATTTAATTATCAGGGTATTTTTTGTGAAAGTTACTAAAATTTCACATTACCTTGTCCGGAAAAATGAAATTTGATGATTAAAAAAGCATAGCAGATGACAATAAAACCGATCGCCCAAACGTATCACGGCAACGGCCATGGTAACCCGATGCACGTGATCTCATGAGTTCCGTGCAAATTGAAATGCACATGCGTTCCCCCATTATTGTCCTATAAAAATCCACCCAGATCGGATAACATTCATTCGTTATTGAATTGCTATCACATGCCAAGATTGACAAGAAATCAGCGACACCAAGCCCTTGGTCGATTGCAAGCTGGACAAACCATCCGGCAAGTAGCCAATGCATTTCTGTGGTCTTCCAGAAAATCGGTCCTGGCAGAGGCAATGGTGTCACAGCAGCTCGGTACATTGATCAAGTCTTGAGACCTCACGCCATACCTCATTTGGCACGTCGCCGCAACCACGAGTTTCAGCATGATAACGCCTGTGCCCACACTGTGAGAGCAACAAGAGACGTCATCCAGCAAACTGGCATCAGAACCATGCGGTGGCCTGCTCTCGGTCCCGATTTAAATCCCATTGAGCACCTGTGGGACGAGATTCAAAGAATGAATGACGTCCGACCAAGGCCGACAACTGCAGGTTGAACTGCGTCAGACGTTCCTCAGAGTGTGGGCTTCATGGCCTTCATCAACCGCCTCATCCTTTCCATGTATCGACGTTGCACGGCAGTCATCAATGCACATGGCGGACACACGAGATACTGACTTGTGATGCCGTTTTCTCAGAGACTAGTGTTGTGTTTCACTTTCAGAATGTTTGACACTTTAATTTCAACCTTGATGATCCGTTTTGCCAAGTTTCATCTTTTTATTATGTCTCAAAGTATGTTTACAGTGTTTGGACAAATAAGGTTTTTCATATATCTATCCACGGTGACGTTTCCTTCTCGGTTCAGTATATATACAAACACGTAGGTAATTCAAAGCCATAATCTGCAGATGCAGTCACTTCCACTTGTGACCTGTGGACAGGAACATTTTCCTGAAATACTTGCACACATGAACGGAGTTTTCCTCGAGGTTTGTCCGTGATAGTTGTCTCAACTGATGTGTACTGTGGCATAATTTTGCCCTTTGATAATCTGACCCAATTGCAGATAGTCATGATTAACCCCTTACTGTCTAAAAAACCCAAAGCCCTGAAATTACCAACTTAAGTCGCTACCTGTACTTATGGTAGGGTGATGTTTCCACTGTCTGTTCTGAAGCTTTGACTCTGGGCCAAACCGATGGACCTCAGATCCCTTTACTGTATTATTCCTGGAAAATGCTGAAAGCAGTGTATTTGTATTCCCACACTCACTCAATTACTCATATTTGGGATGTTTGGCCCAAATGTCTTTATAGGTCTATCTCCATTGAATGATACATGTGTCTTCGGTGCAGGCGTTGCTGCGGCATAGTGGAAGATGATATATCTACTGACGCTCTGTTTACTTGTCGCCATAATGGCAGGGCATGTCATACGTGCACAGTCAGGTGAGATATGTTTGTGGCGATGTATACGTTCATTAACTGATTACTTGCAATTGTTGAGATCACATTTTTGTTCGTGGCAAAATTTGAATTTGGCTCAAACGCAATTCTTTACAACTACAACACAACATGTGTCTTCATGTATACTCAGTTGTGTAAGGAGTAATGATGTTAATGAGAACCTGAATCCTTGTTAGCCTTACCATCTATAAGGGTCAACTTGCACAAAGCGATCTTAGCGCTATGATCGTCTTAACTCCCATACTTTAACATTGACCAGGGAGACTAGTTTAGACTCATATTCAAACTCACTTCGAAGATCCTTTTGTGCATTTGGGCCCAGGATAGTAACAGTCAGAGTTACGTCATCCTCCCGAGACAAGAGTGTCCACTACCCTGTATCAAAGCCTATTTTCTTAAATTATTTCAAGCCTACTGTTGTCGCCTCGATCGTAGCGCCACCATGTGCAGAACACCAGTTGTGTCCCCTGTGATGAAAACGCCATATCCGATTAGATCGCTGTATTTTTTTCGAATGGCTTCTCAAAGATGACTACAATAACGTAAGGATTTGGGATTTCATCCCTGACAGACAAAATGTATTACAGATTACAACAGTAATGATACTTATTACTGTCGGATTTCGTGAGACTACACAGCATTCAGTAACATTGCAACAAGAAACACCGAGCGGGGGATCGTCTAAAAGTAGAACTGTATTTCAGTAAGTGTCATAACCGTTCAGTCGTCTGAGTTAAAAAAACAATGAAGTTTATGCTCAAATATATAAAAGTACTTAGAGAAAAATTTGAACCATTTCGAAAATATTTGTCTTAGCTTAATTCTTGGAATATTGTCTTCGCAAATTCGATAGGCGATGGATGTGGCCAAAGCAGCGACCACGTTTTCGGAACATTGATGTCGAAACGTTCTCTGATTGGACAATCGATATGTGCGATACTCCTCTCATATTATAGTACAGAAAGGTAGGCTTGAAATAGCAATGGTGGAAACCAGACTTTAGATATAGGGTAGTGGACGCACTTGCCTCGGAAAGAGGGAGGTAAGTATACCTAAGAGACTCGAGTCTATCATTGAATTTTTTCTCTCCCTTTTGACACTAATGTGATTGACAAGATTGAGGAAAAAACATGGCAAATATGCGGACCTTGCTTTCGAAATGTCTGCCTGCATCCCAAGTACCAAGTTGTCCGACTCCCCATTGTTCTCGGTGCCTTAGGTTTGGTACCTCCCAATCTGTTGACTGACATTGGGAGAGTACCCGGTTTGGCTAAAGGAATAGACTCGAGTCTATTAGGCAACGAGTAACTCGCCTGCTTCATTTACACATGTCTTTGTCAGATCCTTGTGTGACGTTCGAAGCGTTTCCAAATACTACTCGTCGAGGTGCAACAAATCAGTTGTCTGCTGGTGATACGGAAATTGATGACAGGGACGACCTAACTGACGTTTGGTACGGCAATGTCCGGTATCTACTCCTCGACACAGCCCCGGGCTTCTTGAAGTGTGGTACTTGGTTTCCCGTGTGGAGGCGATGTGAGTAAAATACGTCAGTCTTGAATAGCATGTCAGACAATGGATCACACCACCCTCGTTCTTACCCCGATCGCTTATTTTTTTCTCATAATGTGAGGGCTCGGTTTCATTAACGTGGAGTCTCTTCACAATAGAATTAAATTGTGCACTTTTGCACACATTTATTTGTCTGATGATCCTCATGTGAAAATCCTTTAGAATAGGTTCGAAAACATACCCAGACCTATCCAGGCCTATAAATTTGACTGTGTCCTGTTTCATAAATCCAATGAAATAATTTATATCATTGAATTTTCTGTCCCTTTTGACACAAATGTGATTGACAAGATTGAGGTATAAACATGGCAAATATGCGGACCTTGCTTTCGAAATGTCACGCTTGCATCCCAAGTACCAAGTTGTCCGACTCCCCATTGTTCTCGGTGCCTTAGGTTTGGTACCTCCCAATCTGTTGACTGACATTGGGAGAGTACCCTGTTTGGCTACCAGGAATACAGCCATTCTGACAATCTGAGTAATGCAGAAGGCTGCAGTGTCGTGGAGTCTTCCTATTCTCCGAAAAGTTCTCGGTGGGTTTGACTAGACAGCGCTTCCTGGGAGAAGCCCCAATCGCTGTCTGGGCTGCGTGTAGAGGGGGGAAGGGCCCTGAGCTGATGATGAGCCTAACCAGCCTGACTGTGCCAGGATCACCCAAGCCCTCTTTCCTGCATTTTTAAAAAATATGTGCATAATAATAATCATAATGATAATAATTCCATTTGTATTGCGCCATATTTCCACACCAAACAGGGGTATAGAAGTAGACAAATACTTTATACAGTATTTATATATTTAAGTCCTCCTACGTCAACAGGACCGCCTCCGTGGTCTAGTGGTAGAGCGTCCGCCCGGAGAGCGGAAGGTCCGGGGTTCGATCCACGGCCGCGTCATACCAAATGATGTTAAACGATATTACTTGTTGTTACCCTGTCTTGCGCTCGGTATTAAGAGGCTAAAACAAAGACTGGTCGACTCGGAGTCAGTATACTGTGTCTGAGGGGGTTATTCATGTTAAACTGCGGCATGGCATCTCAGTGAACTAGCACCATAAATCGGTATCAGTCCGGACTAGTACAAGCAGCCACACACACAGGTTGTGCATGCACATCGCTATATAAGCATCCAATAATATTGGATGCGACGTTAAACCCAATTTCACCTCACCTCACCTTCTTCGCCAACATCATAAAGCATGTACACTTTGTAACACTACTCACTTGGGTGGGCAGAACGTGCCAGTGTAATGAACCCATTGCACTATTTGGTACATTAAACACAAAGTGATAAAGTGGCTAATTATATAGTTACTACTGTTCATGCCTCCTCCCCTCAACGAACATTCCCAGAGAAAAAAACCATTGAAACTTGCGGATCCTAACCTAAAGCTTAATGAATCGAGATTTACAAGTATAGCAGAAACGTTTGATGTCTCCCCTTCCCACAGCACACAACCGGTCGGTAGCAGAGATGTGCGTCCAGTCCACAACCGACGACTGCCAACGACAATTTTACATCGATATGAAAGACTGCGATGGTTACGAGGTGTATCTGTTGAAACGTCCGCCAATATACAGAGCGGGCTTTTGTGTCGGTAAGCAGTGTAACAGCTGAAGTAATCTCTTATTGAATGTTTGTTTGTTTGTTGTTTAACGCCGCACTCAGAAATATTCCAGCTATATGACGGCGGACTGTAATTAATCGAGTCTGGACCAGATAATCCAGTGCTTAATATCATGAGCATCGATCCACGCAATTGGGATCGATGACATGCATCAACCAAGTCAGCGAGCCTGACCACCCGATCCCTTTAGTCGCCTCATTAGACAAGCATAGTCACCTTTTACGGTAAGCATGGGTTGCTGAAGTCCTATTCTACCCCGGAATCTTCACGGGTCCTTATTGAATGTAGCGTACAGAAGATTTACATAAAACCACCAAAACCCTTTCCATATTTATAAAAAAAACGTCTGCTAAAAGCAGAGTCGTTTGTACAATTTAAAACTATACTACCAACAATTGTTATATTTCATGTATATGCAAGGTTAATTTTAGCAAATCCATTGTTGATATAGAGACACCATTTTTTTATTGTTGGTGACCGTTAACTGAAAGTACCAATATTGTCTGTAAAATCTCAATGATTGACTATTTGTTTCAGCCCCAAATCCAGAAGGTAGTGTATATAACCAGTTTGACCAGTGTGTGAGTTTGGTAAAGCGGCCTTCTGAACAATGCTTCAGTTATTAAGGCGTGTTACTTAAATATGGGAAGAAAGTCCCATGGGATGCAAGTCTTAGAAGAATCCCACCGGTAAGGGCAAGGTGCTGACAATACACAAATCATAACTTGGGATTCGAGCCAACTGTCAAAGGATTCTGCAACGACTAGGGGATGCACCTGTGTACAACACATTTGAGACCTGGTCACCCATTCCTACAGTTAGATGAGTAAGCTGTATGAAAATGACCAAGTGTATAACAGGCAAACATGAACCTTTTTGTCAGCAGTAGTATTACACTACGTTGACAACGATATCTGCAACAAGGAATTTAACATATGAACCCCACTAATGGGGTTTTAATTTGTGTTAAGAGTACTGTAGCTCTAGCTTTTGTACGTCCATTCCCTACCTTATTCTACCTTCATCGTCAGAATCGGATCAGAAGCCGCGCGGTTTCAGCTGAATCTACAAGGTTTAATTAAGAACGGTTCATTGAGTTTCATTGATGACTTACTACTGCCACCACAAAGCACCACATGGGCTACCATGAGAATTCTCGTCTACAGCATGACAGTCATATTGTTTCTCATTTATGCTGTTTCACGATTGCAGTTCGGGGTTAACAACCTCATATTAACCATCACTACATATTCGGCCATGACATTGTGTTAACTTTAGCGTCAGCTTCGTGCTCGTGGTAACTGTCTATCTCTAAGGTAGAAAACTGTCTAAACAAGAAACTAACTGAAATGCATGTGGATTAGTAAATCATCAACATTATGTAGTTTCTAAGTCTGTAGCTTTGATATTTGAGAATCAGTTAATATTGCTGATAATGATGATTAGCTCATATACGATTGAAACCGCCTCTGTGGTCTAGTGGATAGTGTGTCTGTCTGGAGAACGGAATGTTGGTGGTTCGATCCCCAAACGCGTCATACCAAAAGACGCTTAAAGATAGTACTTGTAGTTACCCTGTCTGGCGTCCGGCATTGAGGGGCTAAAACAAGGACTGGTCATCTCGGAGTCAGTATACTGTGTCTGAGTGGGGTTTTCATGTTGGCTAGCACTATTATGCCAACGTAAAGTCTGTACTTGTAGAAGCAGCACACACACACACACACACACACACACGTGCATTTACGTCATTATATAAGTGAAATAACGCGAAGCTAAACCCCATTTCACCTCAACTCAATTTGGTCTAGAAAGTGCGAGTAGAAGAGCAAACAGTGTGAATGAAGAGTGTGCAAGAGCAGCTATATTATATTTGTTTTTGCAAACGCTTGAGTTCGATCATGTTTGCTTCGTGCATGAAGTTTCTGTTTCAACATTTCCCAATTCTCACATTGACTCGGGTAAGCCGCAATGGGAAAATCATATTGAGAAGGTTGACATAAATGCATCTATACCCTAATATTGCCCTGAAATGTATCTCTTCATATTTTGCCTTTGTATAAACGAACGATAATACCGTTTTATTTATTCTTAAAGGTAAGCATCGTAAACTGTTCAAAACCTTATTATCTATTTTGATCATTTACAGGGATGATTATTAATACCAAACTAGTCAGATTAAGCTTTTAACTGCCATCATTAATACACTCCAGCATGCATGCATGTGTCCAGCGTTGTCATTCACTCATCACGCATGCGTCAAGCCATAGATATTATGGGAAAACATACTGGGTCGCATGAGAACAAATTAAAAATTCCACGTCGAATGTATCTAAGATGTAACGTATTAGCTGTAAATGCATGCAGAAAGCATGCTTGAATTATCTTGTCATCCACACATGCCTCCAGAATAACGGGAAATTACGTAGCAGTAGTCATTATCAAGTCTTTGAAGTAATACAGATAAAGAAGAGAATGTATTGATGCCAACTTCTTTATTATGAGGAACGCAACTTTTCAGAGTATATACCTGACAAAGGAGTAAGCATATAATCCGCAACGTTGTGTTCCTCATAATAAAGAAGTTGACATCAATAAATTCTTTTCAGTAGTCACTATGTCGCGACAATACATGACAGTAGCACACAAATGGCAAACAATAGATAGGTTGATCACAACAATGTAATAGGTGTTATGTCAAGGGTATTGAATTTGTAATAAACCGACAAGGTGGTTGCTCAATGACGGTGTGACATTAAATCTACTAAATCTACTGGACAGTTATCTTTCTTGATAGCGGACTCTCAGGGGCCCGTTACCAAGATGAGACTTTGAGACCAGTATGGTTCTCTTTGTGCGTAGGATTGATGGTCAGTTGAATTACAACAAGATAAACGCCCACTCCATCTCGTGTGTCTGTGAATGTTGTGAGGAATGGCAAAAAACGAGTTCTGCCTTGGCCGCTGATCACACGGACAAATGTGCCATGAGCACTGCCATTGGTGCGCTACGCTGCCTCACAATGTGGACCAACCATTGGCAGTTATACCTTGGCTACCATGAGGATTCTCGTCTACATCATGACAAGACGAATTCAGGCAGTGTCCGCGTCAACAGGGGTCACAATAATTATTAGCATCCATTTCCCATTGCAAATCCTTCTTGTTTAATAGTTGTTAAACATACTGGCCATTTCCATTCCAATTGCTTTTCTGGTCAATTCATGCTACCCATTCTTTTTCCCAGAGTACTATTATAAATATGCTGCAGCGTTTGGCAGTAGTAATTGCATCACTTACCACTTTTTCACCTGACCACGCTATCAGCAACAAGCTACTATGTTTTGTTTCGATTTTGTTATGGTCCGTACTTATAATAGACATGTTTTTGAATCTATGTGGTCATTGGGTTTATTTGCATATTGCAATGTAATAACATTAGGCATCTGTATACAGTGATTTAAATATCTTGTTGACACTGTGTAGGCATTTCATATTTTTCTTTATACAAGGATGTATATTTCTCGTAAAGATATAATCTCAATATTTCCCACACTATTGCACACAAAATGTGTTTTGTGTTTAACGCTTGTAAGGTGAGTATTATCTTTAGTGGTAATGTGTGCACAACATAAGATAATGGTACTTATGATACTCTATCCCTGGAAATTTGATCTTCACATTGTACTTGACAGAAACGGATATGTCAAAATATTTATTCAGTGGATTCTGTAGGTAATTATAAAGCAAATACTTTTATTGGTATCAGGTAGACAATATTATAAACATGTTTTCCACCCTTGGTAGATCGAGTATCAAATAGGTCATTTAACCATTTTGAATAGTTTCATGTTAACATTATAAACGGACATTATCGTGTCTAACTTTATGTGTCTTAGGTTAAATAACGCAATTATCGTACTTGTTCTACTTTGAGAGACCCCAAATTGCGATAATACCTTCCAGTAGGATATAATGGAATATAATCGAATACCCTTAAGCCAATTTTTCTTTTGGAAGTAAGCACTTTTGTGACTTTAAAAACAGCATTAGTCTTACACGTACATCAACATAAGTATATACTACCGACATTTTACAATATGGTTCATACTCACAAACCATGTCCATTTGCACGTCCATTTGGTTCAATCACAAGTGCGAGCTCATTTGAAGATTGAGTTTCATATATTGTGTTTAATTTCTTTTTTTATATATGTTTCGAACCTGTCCAGCTGCTCCAAAGTTTACCAAAGTCCTTCCATCAACACAAGTCTAAAACACATGTTTGCCTCTAGTGAGTTACTGTTTCGATGTCAGTTCAACCGGTCTTCTACGCAGAAGCTATGGTACGAAACCAGCTGGTATGTTAACGATGTACTCACAACAACCTTTGATCCCATGGAATGGACCTCGGGTGGATTTGATTATGTTGCCAACAATACCCTCACAGAGGCTATTCTTAAAACGAATGGCATTTCAAAAGCAGGTTTTAACGTAAGTTCAAAACCTCCTGTTGTTTCAATATGTCATAGGATTTGCCAAAAAAACCATTATAATATTATAAGGAGATGATAATACATGGAAATGATTATTTTGATATACTATAGTGGGTTTGGCTGAGTGGTGGTGCGGTGAGGCGGCTGTGATTTTCTTTCGAACAACATTGTAGTTCAAAAAGAAGAATTGGTTCGATCGAAATCCTCAAAGGTATAGTGACCGAAAGAGATCATCACCCATCTCCAACTAACCTACTAGCGATTTACACTCCAACCCCTACCCCCTCCTCCAGCCCCACCCAACTGGCCGGAATATTAAATGGGAGTATGATACAATGAATGTTTTCGTAAATTTAACTTGCCAAATTGCATATCAAGCCATCAAGCCAGAATAAAACCTTAAATGATGTTATTCAGATATATATATATATATATCTATATATCTATATCTATATATATATATATATATATATATATATATAATACAAAGATGTATTTTTTACTCTTTACTCCACCGGGTTTCAGTTCAATATATATAATTGTTACCGATCTTCATCACTAGTTGTCTTGTGCTGTGAGAGCTCAATTCGCTCAGGGCTTGCCGAAGGGGAATCACTCCTTTTCTGATATGGACTTTATTGGAATCAAGGTAATCGGTAACAATACAATTTCGTACAATCAAAAACTGATTCAGTGGCCTCATAGCAAATTGTGTCATGAAAATTAAGGCTTAAATACGCATTTAAATCTGAAAATACATATCAAGTTGTCTATTTTGAAAGGGCATGAATTCAATGAAAGGAATATTCAATTACCCTCATTTTGGTAACAATTTTTACGGCATTAGCACATCCGCATGCATGAGATAGCAAGTGGTGTAATATTTTCATAAGCATCTTTTAAAAAGAAATACTTGATTCAAACAGTATTTTTTCTATAGTTAGTTATTCAAGTACTTCCCTTCTCCAGATTTTGCAACCAGAAGTTGTGCTGAAGGAAGGAGAGACGACAAATGTCCACATACAGATGACAGTTCCTTTCGGTTGTGGCAACATCACTCAGATTCTGATGACACCATGCGAGTTTACTGTAGAGGTGGAGACAGCTGATCCAGATGGGTGTGGCCAAGCTGCTGTCATCCAATCTCGATGTGGCATTCCTAACATACCCGCGACTGATTGGTCTAGGCGTTCACCAATCAAAGTGTTAGGCAGAATTACACCAGAGTATGGACGACAATCGGCCATTACAACACTGAAAGTGAAAGTTCCTGACAGTTTTGCTTTCCCATTTTGGAAAGAATATCATGTTGGAAATATTACGGTAAACTATCATACTAATTACATTCCTAAACCAGGAAACAAATCAGACAACAGTTTTTTAATATATTTTGTCGCGTCACTGTATTCTCCAACTATTTCTGGGCCGTGGCAATCAGTACAAGTCGTTAGTCAGATCTATCTTTACAAATCACACGGTCTTAATGGCTACCCTGACACATTTTTTATTAAAGATCTGTTTCAGTACTTTTAGGTTTTTCAAAAAACATGGAAACTATGTTATAGGTGACACTGGAGAGAGACACAGCCCTCATTCAACAGAAACGCTGTTCATCCACTAACGATCCATATTTATACACATTTGATGGATTATGGTATGTATTGTGTCACAGGTGTGTGGAGGTTTGGATGGTGTGTGTCATGAGCTTGGTTTAACGCCACTTTGAACAATATTCCAGTTATATCAGGACGTGTCATCTTGACGTAGGAAGAAAGCCCGAAGTGACACAGGTCTTCGACATTTACCACTTCGGTGAAACCCGCGAGCACGGTTATGGTGCTTACAAACCCAAAAACAGAAACCTGGCGAACCGGGATTCGAACCAACGAACAGTTTTCTGGTGAGCCCAAGGGACCCGTCTCTGCACAGCGAATTGCCGCTCCTAAAACGACTGGGCCAAAAGTGCCCCCTTACCAAAAGAAGTCGTTTATGTAGTCATTAGAATCATGCCTAATTTGCCTAAGTATGTATGAGTTCAAGAGTAACTATATGTTTTTACAGGAATCGATATGACTTGGCTGGCGTGTTCACATTCTACCGACACCTTACCGACACAGTGGAGGTAATTAAAAATGAATTTTTCAGGATGTTGTTTCTAGAACCTTGTGATTGTACCTATATTGACTACGCTTCTATGAACAATTATTCCTGGTCATATCCGGGTACCTGTATGACTGGAGTGGTCATATCCGGGTACCTGTACGACTGGAGTGGTCATATCCGGGTACCTGTACGACTTGAGTTGTTATATCCGAGTACATGTATGACTGGAGTGGTTATATCCAAGTACATGTATGACTAGAGGGGTAATATCCGGGTACATGTATGACTGGAATGGTCATTACCGGGTACCTGTATGACTGGAGTGGTCATATCCGGGTACCTGTATGACTGGAGTGGTCATATCCGAGTACCTGTATGACTGGATTGGTCATATCCGGGTACCTGTACGACTGGAGTTGTCATATCCGGGTACCTGTATGACTTGAGTTGTTATATCCGAGTACATGTATGACTGGAGTGGTTATATCCGAGTACATGTATGACTGGAGTGGTCATATCCGGGTACCTGTATGACTGGAGGGGTCATATCCGAGTACATGTATGACTGGAGTTGTCATATCCGGGTACATGTATAACTTGAGTTGTTATATCCGAGTACATGTATGACTGGAGTGGTTATATCCGAGTACATGTATGACTGGAGTGGTCATATCCGGGTACCTGTATGACTTGAGTTGTTATATCCGGGTACATGTATGACTGGAGTGGTCATATCCGAGTACATGTATGACTGGAGTGGTCATATCCGGGTACCTGTACGACTGGAGTGGTCATATCCGAGTACATGTATGACTGGAGTGGTCATATCCGAGTACATGTATGACTGGAGTGGTCATATCCGGGTACCTGTATGACTTGAGTTGTTATATCCGAGTACATGTATGACTGGAGGGGTTATATCCGAGTACATGTATGACTAGAGGGGTAATATCCGGGTACATGTATGACTGGAATGGTCATTACCGGGTACCTGTATGACTGGAGTGGTCATATCCGGGTACCTGTATGACTGGAGTGGTCATATCCGAGTACCTGTATGACTGGATTGGTCATATCCGGGTACCTGTACGACTGGATTGGTCATATCCGGGTACCTGTACGACTGGAGTGGTCATATCCGGGTACCTGTATGACTGGAGTGGTCATATCCGAGTACATGTATGACTGGAGTGGTCATATCCGAGTACATGTATGACTGGAGTGGTCATATCCGGGTACCTGTATGACTTGAGTTGTTATATCCGAGTACATGTATGACTGGAGTGGTAATATCCGAGTACATGTATGACTAGAGGGGTAATATCCGGGTACATGTATGACTGGAATGGTCATTACCGGGTACCTGTATGACTGGAGTTGTCATATCCGGGTACATGTATGACTGGAGTTGTCATATCCGGGTACCTGTATGACTGGAGTGGTCATATCCGGGTACATATATGACTGGAGTTGTCATATCCGGGTACATGTATGACTGTAGTGGTCATTACCGGGTACATGTATGTCTAGAGTTGTCATATCCGGGTACCTCCGGGTAAATGCAATGGGTATGAAACAATGGGTCCAATGCCCTGCATTACCAACACTGCTCTGCAATTTCCAGGTGCAAATCGAGACAGAGAATTGCGGGAGATTTGGATTCTGCAACTGTGGAGTAGCCGTGCGATCTGGAAAGACAGTGTTTGAGCTGAGCCACTGTAACTCCAACATCTGGCACATTGGGTACACCTCATGCCGAGACGGGGGAGGGGCCATGGACGTGAAGCGGAGGGGGTCATCATACGAGGTAGTCTAGAATATCAAAAACTGGAGTATTCTTTTTAGTTTAGAGAAGCCCGGTCAGGTACTCATTTTTGAAGTCCATATACTTATGCTTATACAAGAAATACATTGTCAAAGAGTGAGTGAGTGGGGTGTTACGCCGCTTTTAGCAATATTACAGCAATATCACGGCGGGGGACACCAGAAATGGGCTTCACACATTGTACCCATGTCGGGAATCGAACCCGGGTCTTCGGCGTGACGAGCGAACGCTTTAACCACTGGGCTACCCGACCGCCCACATTGTCAAAGAGGTCATTTGGGTTTGAGTTATTTCCGAACATAACCATGAACAGAATATGTTCTTTGATAGGTATACCTTCCTAGTGGAGCCAAACTTCAGGCGTACATTGATGGATCCAGACTAAATATTTACTTAACCCCATCCATCCAAGACCGGAACAAGACTCGAGGCCTTTGTGGCATTCTTTCGTCAACATCAGATGATGACTACATGACAAGAGATGGGTCCCTGGCTCCGTTTGACCAGTTCACCAGTTCTTGGAGGTAGGGAGTTTCCACATGCATGTAAATGCGTGCAAGCTTGCGGTATCACCAGATGTTGTTTATTCGAGTTTTTACAGGATTCTGTTATTATGGAATCACTCCCTGGAGTGAGTTACTGTTGAAAGTCACCAGCTAAGGTACAATAATCCACTACTCCTGTCAACCATCGTGCCTGACTTCATGTAGGTAATAGGCACTGTGATATCAGGATTCCTATTTTCTTTCCGTTGCATTAATAAAATGGGTTATGATTTGGGGCTCCTGTTGGTTGGTCAGATTTGTTGATGTAAGGAGAGCCTTATGAGATGCAGGTAGTTGGTATTGGCTCGTGTATGAATCCAATAATAATTATGAATATAAAAGATCCAATTCCATAACATTGCAGCCTATGAACAAACTTTTCACACAGCATCAGTCAAGGTAACTTAGTATACAATTTCATGTATATTTATGCACAAATACACAGAACAATGTGATTGTTTAGAGTCGATCCCCCAAACAACCTCTTCGAACCTTCGGTAGTATCCCAGATAACGTCCATTGCCCCGGCTGTGGACCAGTATTGCTCTTGCGTCAATACCAAGATCACCTGCTCCGCAATGACCGCATCGCGCACCTGTACGGTGCCGGCAGGATACAGATCAGTTCCTAGAAGACAATGCACTATATCTGGTGCAAGAAAGAAACGATGTGCAAGGAATCCAGTGTCGCGTGTGAGAAGGGTGAGTTATTAAAATGGACACCGTCCGTGCCAGATGTCGTTTCCGGTGCAGGAACCCGTTCCACAAAGCGATCTTAGTGCTAAGTTGGTCGTAACTGCCATACTTCAGCATAGGCTTACGATCAACGTAGCACTAAGATCGCTTTGTGGAACAGGGCCCAGAACCGTAAATGTTTCTTCACCAAAACTTGGCACATAGATAGGTCTAGTGGTAAACTGGAGCCTTTTGGGGAACTTTAAAAGATATAAAAATCGAGTTTCCCTGTCACACGTTTCCGGAGCAGATCTTGAAAACCATATCGGATATTTTCACCAAATATGTCTAGTGGTAACGGTGCCTTTGATTGTTTGGGATTTCCCCAAAAAAATCGGTTAGGAGTTTCTAAAGCAACAACTTTGACAAAATCCATGTAGAATTTTGGATCTATGTTTCTGCCGAACTCAGCAACAACTGGAACTGCTTATTTTAAGTGTGAAAAGGGGACCTTAGCATATAAACATAGAGAATTGTGAACAGTGAATTCAGTTGTATAGTAAATAAGTGGTGATTTTATAGAAAATGAAACCAAAAGTTCAGAAGCAATGAGGTTTATAAACACGGAAAACTATGCTTAAGTTTTGAATGAGTGAGTGAGTGAGTGAGTATGGTTTTACGCCGCTTTTAGCAATATTCCAGCAATATCACGGCGGAGGACACCAGAAATGGGCTTCACACATCGAACCCGTGTCTTCGGCGTGTCGTGCGAACGCTTTAACCACTGGGCTAACCGACCGCCCTCTTAAGTTTTGAGATGTATGAACAATGAAACCTAATATAAAAGTGATTAGGTTTATAAATTTGTTTTTTAGTTTTGATGTCGGTTGTTTAACACCGCACAATATTCCAGCTATATGACGGCAGTCTGTAAATAATCGAATCTGGACCAGACAATCCATCGCTTGGTATCATGAGCATCGATCCACGCAATTGGGATACGATGACAATCATCAACCAAGTCAGCGAGCCTGACCACCCGATCCCGTTAGTCGCCTCTTACGACAAGGGTAGTTGCCTCTTACGACAAGGGTAGTTGCCTCTTACGGCAAGCGTAGTCGCCTCTTACGGCAAGCGTAGTCGCCTCTTACGACAAGGGTAGTTGCCTCTTACGGCAAGCGTAGTCGCCTCTTACGACAAGGGTAGTTGCCTCTTACGGCAAGCGTAGTCGCCTCTTACGATAAGGGTAGTTGCCTCTTACGGCAAGCGTAGTCGCCTCTTACGACAAGGGTAGTCGCCTCTTACGGCAAGCGTAGTCGCCTCTTACGGCAAGCGTAGTCGCCTCTTACGAAAAGGGTAGTTGCCTCTTACGACAAGGGTAGTCGCCTCTTACGGCAAGCGTAGTCGCCTCTTACGACAAGGGTAGTCGCCTCTTACGACAAGCATTGGTTGCTGTCTTAACCCTAACCCTAAAATTGTTATCAGTACATTTACATATTTCATTTGAACACACTGTCTGTTTACAGCAAACTAGAACTGGTGATCCAGAATGGGGAGGTGGTTGGACGGAACAGAGGGCCAATGAATTCTGCCGACAATTGATCACATCGTCGAACACAACAGCATTATGTCAAGACGTTCCTGGTGTTGACGTGAACGCTAGTCTCAGCCAATGTGTCACTGACATACAGGTAATTGCATTGACGTTTTGGAGAAGTGGATGCAATTTCTGTTGTGCATTAGTATATATGCCTAAGTATGTCTAAGTTTTCATTTTGGATATACTGAAATAACGCCTACTATTTCAGGTAGTACTCACCTAGCCTGCCATCACGATACTATGGTTCAGTCAAAAATGAATAAGTGAGCGGACTACGGTTAAGCTCTGCTTCAGAAAAACTAGGGCTCGTCATCTTAAATGCTTTAGTGAGTTGGGTTTAAGGACGCTTCCACAAAAATTTGAGTTTAATCGTTTTGAGGGTAAAGACACTTTTGTGACACTCATCATAAAATAGCTACCCGTCAGACGTGTTGGGAGAACCACTATGAAGCCCCTTCCACAGCCGTATAGTGAATCGCAAGACATGAGGAAGGTGCTGGAAAACAAGAATATTAATTTCATGCCCAAAACGGATTCATTTTCACCACCACCGAATCCTGGCACTCAAGTAACCCAACGAGGCTACGCCGTAGACTACCTTAGCGAACACTCAACAGAGTGAGTGAGTGTGGTTTGACGAAACTTTTAGCAATATTCCAGCAATATCACGGCGGGGGATACCGGAAATGGACTTCACACATTGTACCCATGTTGGGAATCGAACCCGGGTCTTCGGCGAGCGAACGCTTTAACCACTAGGCTACCCGACCGCCCCAACGCTCAACAGAACTGCATTGGTTGTATCGTTTTACTGTCTCGTGGGTTAATAGATAGATTATCACGATCGTTACCATGACTTTAGTTCGCATATGTTCGTATGTAAATAAAACATATTTTCAATTACTAGTCAATCAATTTTAATTCTCCCTCTCAGTGCTCAATATCCATGTCTTGCACTCTTAGTTGAGCCAGTCTACTGAATTCTCCCAACTTGAGCTGGACAGTGTCCGGGCACCTTGCATTAAGGAAGTCATGGTAAACCCAGCGTTGAGAGAAGTCCAGTCTGGGTCATCGCAGTCCATCTTCGACAGAGTCACAGAGCGGTCATGTCTCGGGGAGTGCTCCGGAAATGGATTTTGTGTGAATGGTAATTATCATGGGGATCACTTTTATTTCTTATGCATGGATTTCAGTGTGTGTGCGTGCGTGCGTGCGTGCGTGCCTCCGTGCGTGCGTGTGTGTGCGCGTGCGTTTTTCAGGGGGCATTCTTGGGGCTTGGAAGTGATGGGTGGGAGAAAGCTTGAATTTCGAAAAACATAATTTGTTCCAAAAAATAATACGGGTCTCTTAGATAACAGTCAATATCATGAACTAACCATTCGCCGTGAATATTACACTATTTTCAGGGACTTTCCCCAATATCTGTCCCAGCTGGTAATATTTTGCCTTGTTCATCTGTTCCAATCATCGACAACTGTATGCTACATAACGTGTCCTGTCTATTCCGGTAGGTTCGTGTGAGTGTAACACTAATACCGGAGGTGAAGACTGTTCCGTGGATCTCACCAAGCCTCCAGTTTTGTACGACGTTGCCGACGATGGTCACTGTGACATTGGAAACAGTAGTTGCCGTGAAGTCTCTGTGTTCGGTTCAGTGTTTACTGGTGGAGTGGACTCGAAGTGTATGATTAGAAGTTTCGCGGTATGCATGTTTCGTTGTTAAAAAGTGATATGGGTTTTCACAAAAGTGACGAACCCTTCCATATTCATAAAAAGTATCTGCCCAGATCGGAGTCAATTGTACGATTCCGACTATATCATGGCCATGAATCACTCTCAAATGGGGATGATACCAGGTGTTCGCGAAAAGGTGAGCGTATCTTGCCCCGACGGTGGCACCCATCACAAACACACGCAAAGGCAAGTCAAATGTTCACCTGCAAAAACTTAATATCCCGACGGCATTGGGTGTTGCTCATAATATCAATCAATTGTTTGTCAAACCAAGACACGATTAGTTACAGGCTGTGGTCAAATGGCTTGAAATATTGCTGAATGCGGTGTTTATTGTTGTTTACAAGTTTATTATTGTTATATTTGTAAATGTTGTAGTCGTTAAAGCTCCATTTCATCCTATAACTGAGTGGGGGAGTTGGGTTTAACGCCGCTTTTAACAGTATTCCAGTTATATCACGGCGCGTCAGCTTAATGTGGGAGGAAAACCCGAAGTGATGCAGGTCTCAGACGTTTACCACTTCGGTAAAACCCACGAGCACGGGTGTGGTGATGACAAACCTAGAAACATATTCGGGGCGAACCGGGATTCGAATATCACAGGTTCCCCCAATCCATTCAAAAAACACATATGCACTGATACCTCGTGTTACACGAGTGAGTGAGTGAGTGAGTTGGGTTTAACGCCGCTTTTAACATTATTCCCGTTATATCACGGCGTGTCAGCTTAATGTGGGAGGAAACCCCGAAGGTCTCAGACGTTTACCACTTAGGTGAAACCCTCGAGCACGGGTATGGTGCTGACAAACCTAGAAACATAATCGGGGTGAACCGGGATTCGAACCCACAATCATAGGTTTCTGGCGTGTCCAGAGGACGCAACTCTGCACAGCAAATCGCGGCGCCTTAGACGACTGGGCCCCCCATGCCCCCCGTGTTACACGAGGTTGATAAGATGCCCAGGCCAGAACAGAAGCCCCCTCACTCGTACACGATGGCGTGGGGTTGATCATGCTGTCACCAAGTGGCCTGGATCCCGCCACGGTCTTAGCCGCTATTGCGTTAAACAATATGCATAGGCTCACTGTTTGCCCTATGTTATAGGTGCAAGAAAACGGGCACATGGAATATCAAGAAATGTCCACTACAGCCGCTGTCGACGAAAGTATAAGCGAAGTGTTGTGCTCGGTGCACACAAGAAAAAAGCGTTCAACATCTTCTCCGGCCGACGTAGTTGCAGCTTACAACATCTCCGTGTCCAATGCTGACGACATCTACAGTGACGGAATTGTTGTGCTGGTCTACGACTCCAGGTGTGTCATAGTCAACCATACGACTAGACAATGGAACATTCAGGTATTTGAACGAAACCTCCAGGCATTAGCGATAACATAAGCTGTAGGCCTTATGTACCCTATGCGTGGTCGAGTCGACAGTGAGACCGTATTTCACGAGGGATAAGGCGACAAGGCATTAATCTTATCGCCATGTTTACCACAATTTGGAAACAAGCGGAGATTAAGATACGAATCAATTTTTTGTCGCCATTTTGCCAAACAAAAATGGGTTGAAATTGAGGCTCTGTGCATCACGTATATCTGAAGTGAATGAACATTACGCGACGCCGTTTCGCTGTAAAGAGCTTGAAGTGTATAGGTTACACCCAATCTGTACAACAGCCCATTGCGTACAATGTGAAATAGTTGTGAATGAAAAATAATTCCCCAAATTTTTCACAATAAGGGCAACCAGCTTGCTCATTTCATGCAATTGGCAGGTAATTGTTCTGCCTAAAGCAATTGGAATTGGTATTGTTTTACATGCTTTGTTTTCAATAAAGTAAACTCTATTATTAAGGGCATAAACTGTAATAAATAACAACCAAACAAATATGTGATCTTAAGAAACTTTATTTTCTAAATAAAAACACAGATATATCAGTGTTATCTGCCAATAAAGAGTCTCTGAATCACACACATCACCGCTCAGTTCAGTCACAGTTGGCACAGGGTCTGTGGCTATGGCAGGCACTATTGCATCTCAATCCGGATTTCAAACAGGAGCACCTGTTTGGCAAGTAGTTGCTTCTGCACTTTTTTCCATTTGTTCACCGATGTAGTGGGATACATGGAAAGTAACCCAAACGTTATAGACCATTATAATTCGAGTATTTTACATGGAAAGCAGGATAATCATAACATATACATGCGTCAAACCATGGAAATGGGAGAGAGAATTTCATCTTCAATCTACACGTAGTGTAGTTGTGCGAAAACAAGTCCGGAGAACCAACCTCTTTTATCATATTTTGTCCTTCATACATGTGGCTAAATTTTTGTCACCATTTGCCAACTAATTTCTTAAAAAAGGTTCTTAATTGTTTGTTAGGGTGTTGATCAGGGCTCCCTTGGTACAATGATACAATCAAACACAACAGAAGTGTAGGATAAGGGCGTATTTTGGGACATTGAAAATGTCAAAGTTTAAAGGTTACAATAATGGTAGAAAATGTATCAGACATGTTCAAATGGCTGACAACTAGCCTTTGGTTTCTTTCTTACACTTGCAAGTGTTTGACTTCTGAAATGGCCACAATCATAAGTAACAAATGCTATATTTGGGATAACACTTTCTCAGTAAAATCCAGATTCTCGTACTTTTTGGGTGTGGACTTCCATCCGGAATTCGAACCCTCAAAGTACGAGAATCTGTACTTTACTTAGAAAGTGTTATCCCAAATGTAACATTTGTTGGATTTGACCGCTTTCTTAATGGCATTGTATGTTCAAATTCATAAGTATGGCTAAAAAAGTAATACAGGCAGAATTCTAGAACTACAAATGGGCAAATCCTCCGCCCAAGATGATTTTTTACCTTTTATTATGTTATTTTGTATCTGAAACTCCTGAAAATATATTTATATAGCATGGTTCATGTTCATGTTCAAATTAGAATATTAGAATTAAATGTTTTCCTAAAATGTCTAAAATCATTCACTGTAACACATTTTATCCTTTCATATGCATTTTGTCATATCATAAGTCATAATGATGCAATTACAGTGCTAAAATGGTCCTTATCCCGCCTCGTCAGTTATAAGTGAGGATAACCATGTGCCGCATTGAATAGATAGATAGATATCTTAATAGCTCGATATATAGATAGATAGATAGCTCGATAGATAGATAGCTCGATAGATAGATAGATAGATAGCTCGATAGATAGATAGATAGATAGATCGATAGATAGATAGATAGATAGATAGTTCGATAGATAGATAGCTCGATAGATAGATGATAGATAGCTCGATAGATAGATAGCTCGATAGATAGATAGCTCGATAGATAGATAGCTCGATTGATAGATAGATAGATCGATAGATAGATAGATAGATTGATAGATAGCTCGATAGATAGATAGCTCGATAGATAGATAGCTCGATAGATAGATAGATCGATAGATAGATAGATCGATAGATAGATAGATTGATAGATAGCTCGATAGATAGATAGCTCGATAGATAGATAGATAGCTCGATAGATAGATAGATAAATAGATGTTCTACATACATGCGTTGATCTGCCCTTTTAGGAAGGCTACTGTATTCACAACAGGCTGTGTGTACAGGACGGGAGGCCAAAGTCAGGATCTGACTGCGAAATATGTGACGCTTCCACCTCCCCCGCTGTCTGGATCAACTCAAATGGTATATTCTAAATACACATTTGATCAATACAATATAAAACTTTAACTTGCATAGTTTGAAGGTCACACCAATTGTACCGCCTGGTCGTTTTAAAATGACATCATACCTTAATAAACTTAATCCTATGAATTGTGTTCGCGAACACCTGGTATAGTCAATAATTGATAGTGATTCATAAAGAATATGTATGTGAATTGTGGGATGGAAGAAATGGCGTGCATAATTTTGCGAGTATCGAACTACGGATATTACCCTGTTTTACTGTGTAATAATTCCCTCAGGAAATTACCAGAACCAATCGTGAAATAAAATGAAGACATTCAATATTAAGACACATGATGGAAACAGAGTGAAAAGGTCAAACGAAAGGAACGTGAGGAAAAAAACAACTATACTTTGTTTCACACAGTTATTGTAACAATCTTGTTGTTTGGTTTTCAGCTTGTAGATCAACTACTACTACGAACAGGCAAACCCAAACGAGTTCAAATACATACGGTGTACATACTACTAACATCCTACCAAAAACAATTCGAACGTCAACTATGCCACCGGAAGAACATCGTACAACCCTGGTATCAGCGTCTCGGGCAACTGGCAACACGGACAACTGGCAATGGGCGACTACAACAAGCCTTCCTTCAATAGCACATACTACAACAAACCTTCCATCACCAGGACAACCTACAACAAGCCTTCCATCACCAGGACAACCTACAACAAACCTTCCATCACCAGGACAACCTACAACAAACCTTCCATCACCAGGACAACCTACAACAAGCCTTCCATCACCAGGACAACCTACAACAAGCCTTCCATCACCAGGACAACCTACAACAAGCCTTCCATCACCAGGACAACCTACAACAAGCCGACCATCGCCAGGGCAAACAAATAAGAACCCCATGCAGTCGGAACAGACATCAACAGTAAATTCCACGATGCTTACCACTAGCAAGTCATCACCGAATGTTACGTCACCACCAATAAGAGGATCTGTTACAATGCCAGATTCGTCCGCTATTAAAGACGTAATGGAGTTTCGTTTATTGTTACTTGCAGTCTTTTTGTCTGATGTCTTCTTGGCATATTATTGATGTTACGATGGCAGTTGGTGTATATGTTATCTTCATGTTGATTGTTCTTGAAACGGCATATTATATGGCATATTTGTTCTACAGGTTAACATATTTATGGGTTGTTTTGTATTTTCAACAAATGTTGTTTTTTTCAATGCGTTCAATTTAACTCTGATTTTTATTGGTGAATTGTATCGAGTAAAATGTATATGTACGTGGTGGTAGCACTTATTGGTGTAGATTGCACAATATTATTCAATATGTAGTGCTATGTAGTATCTTCAACTCTGTTGCATTTCTCCTCCACACAAACGTATATAGTGTCATGAGGTGTATATCTTGTATTAATCAGGTACAATCCTACATACGTTCCGTTGAAATTCATGTACATGTGCACTTATCACGAAGCACCCTAAACATATTTAGATTTGGATTGTAAAGTTAAACATCTTAAGAGTCAAAACATAAAGTATTGTTTAACAAACATTTACTCCTGCATGCTGTTATATTTCAGCAAACTAAAGGCAAACCCAAAAATATGCAGAATCAAGCCTTTAGTTTGAATGTTTGGACTTAAAGAAATTACTGAAATGTGATTATGTGACTTGAAAATAATGACAGCGGACACACACATTACACATAAATCATCCTGATTACATTCCCCGTATAGCACAAGGCTATTAAAGAGCGATGCACTGATGTCTGCAATGGTATTCAACTCGAAATGATATACAATATCCCTTTTTTTATTGTTCCAAAGGTTGACTGTTTTATGCAGATATTTATATTAGATATGGAAAGAGGTTTCTTGCATTATTACATCGCCTGCAGCAGGTTGCGGATTGAAAGACGGGTACGTCTCTGTTGAGATATCGATATATTGTCGGATTCATGAATTTTCCATATATTTAAGCTAATAATGAAAAGTATTTGTAATTTTGATATTGAATGTAATTTTGATGTTGTCAATAAAGCTTCTCTACTGTTATAAAATGTTGCTTATATTCAGAGTTCAATTCTGTGAAAACTTTTGATTTTTTAACTTAAGGAAAATCTTCATTCCTTGATCCATGGGGTATTTGTTACTAAACGTGGTGACCATAGATGTAGTTACATCGATATCTTCAGTTCAGACCAATTTGTCAAAATTGAAAGCAGAAGTTCACTCAGAAAACAATATGTGAAATGCTCCCTCATCGATTACATCAAAACAATCGAATTTGATCAAAAGGTTAAACTGAAGCTTCGGGAATATCGATGATGTGATATTGTTCAATAATGGTCAAATAGCCAAGTCCATTCCTTTGACTTATCCAACTGAACTAGAATTGAAAGAGACGAGTAAAACTTTTTAAAAAACTCTCCACAACACTGAATGACAAGCGTGATCACCTCAACTTTCCAATTGTAAACTTTCCTGTCATGTCACCTGCCATACCTTTTGAGGTACAATCGGGCATGCCCCTTGTACGAAGATTTCAAAGAACGTCATACGTTACAACTTTCAAAGCCTCAGCAAAGCTTTCCAAACGTTTTATGGCTGACATGAGGTGGGCATTCCAAAATATTATTTTTGAGGTGGACACTTATTTCAGTACAATCAAAGCCATTTTAACATCTCTTGACTTAATAAATAAACAGTCGAACGATGAAAAAAATATTTTTTAAAACTCGTGTCTTCGGGAAAGTTACGAGTAAAATATCTTGACACATCTGGGATCACTTCTTATCCAAAGCAGCAATTATCAGCTTGTGATAATACAAAAGATATTAGACAAGTAGATATTCACAAACTTGATGAAAATAAACATGCACACACAACGTGCAAGTTAGAGCCTTACTGTTAATGAATATAGAACATGGACTGTACATGTTTCGCAACATCTGGTCCAGTTTCACTTATTTGAAACTGTCGAGAAATAGTTGGACTATTGATAACCATGCATATTTAGAGCTATGCATAAAGATTCAGAGTAACAAGACTGCATGATCAGGGGGATGACAACAACGTTCATGTGGCGGACATTGCGATTTTTTCAGGTGAACACTTAACTTACCTTTGCATGTGTTGGAGACGGGAGCCTCTGTTGAGGGAGGGTACGTTCACCTTTTTGCGAACATATAGTATCATCCCTATTTGACAGTGATTCCTAAACGCAATCTTAAGAAATAGTCCGAATCGTGCAAACGCAATCTCTCACTATACCTTTGTTCAGTAAATAGGCCATCCTATAGGACGTTGTAATAACAGCTAATTTTAACAAAGTAAACTGTTGACGATTTAGCGAGATATAAATATGAACATGATTAAATGTTTTAATGAAATATCGTGTCACGGTATCAGAGCCTATCACATTCCTCGAATGGTTCTGACTGACTTTTGTGAAGGTTATAACTTATATCATTTTGTTTCTTTTGTATAGGGGGACACGGGTGGCCCAGTCGTCTATGGCGCCGGGAATTGCTGTGCAGAGTTGCGTCCCTTGGGTACGCCAGAAACCTATGATTGGGGGTTCGAATCCCGGTTCGCCCCAATCATGTTTCTAGGTTTGTCAGCATAATACCCGTGCTCGCGGGTTTCACCGAAGTGGTAAACGCATAAACCTGCATCACTTCGGGTTTTCCTTCCACATTAAGCTAACACGTCGTGATATAACTTGAATAATGTAAAAAGCGGCGTTAAACTCAACTCACTCACTTTTTCGTATAGGAATAGGATTAAGATTTCACCTATATTACAAATACGACGAGCGTTAGAATGTATATTTATCAGTGTTGCTCTGTATGAAACTGTGGATGTTTGAAATGTTATAGTTGTAAGTTTCTATGTGATTTTGTCTGCAGATTTGATGAAACGATGATCAATATCCATGTGATTATTGGAATGTGATTAATTTATGTTCTTGAAGACATATTAGAGATTGCTTGACGAACACTTGGTCACAAACACGTATGCATTTCACACAGAAGCACCACCTCAACATTATTTGAAGTCCATAATTAGAGTATATTGTTTACATATATAATAATACATTTTATTATACATTTCAGTTTGAAAGACTAAGTTGTCTGAAGCTGGGAAAAGTGATATTTGCAGTGAACATAACAAATATATTTCACTGCAGTGAACAATACACTTGATATTTTACTGCAGTGAACACAACACTTTGACGGAACTATTGTCATAAAAGAGTGACCTCCCTTCAAATTGTCTTCCATTATCGTAAGTATCTTCCGGCCGGTCCACAAACTGTTGACTTCCTTTTTACGTTAGTTCCACATTGACAAGGCAAAATAATGACAGATGGTCATTTATAGAGTTAATATCGCTTCAGGCCGTTTGTCATTAAAAATGATTCGTTATAAACTGAAAATTGCTGACTTTATTTGTCAATCGAGACTGGTCGTTTTCCAAAGCGCCATTTTTGTTACTTGACCAGCGTCTATTCTTTCCTTTCCAACAGCGGTTTGGTAGTTTCAAGTACATGCATTTTGTTTGGTTAAAGTTTATTTTGTATATAATCATATCTATATGTATGATGCAGAATGTTCATGCCCATAAATAATTTGTATTGCTTTTGTTTATATTTTGTAAGATTTTTCAACAAGAAACTACTTTGTTAGTCGCAAATACAAGGGGTTGTGAACCGTCCCTTTGTGTTAGATAGGGAGAATTTAAGCCACACGTGAAAATATCTTATCTCCCCCCGTCACTAGATGAGAGAAGCATGATATTTCACTCGACACATGAAATATCCTCGATATTATTGACAGTATTCAAGAACATTCAGAAACGTATGTCAAAACACTATATGTTGGAACACATTATGATTATGATCCCATGGTTGTTGACCATTATTCTGAGACGCCTCAATTAGCAGGCACTCCTTGATAAACTGTGATATAACTGAAATACTTAATAAAGATGTATAACAAAACTCACTTGTATCACAGCTACTGAGTAATTGCCATCCAGCATCACAACAATTATTAACCGCCTTCTACGTAACCCAAAATTAAATGTTATGAACTTGGCAGTTATGTGTCCATTTAAAACATTTAACCCGTTATGCCTGGTATATACGAGTTATCGCCTCTTCTATTTCATAGTGAGTGAGTGAGTATGGTTTTTAGCAATCTTCCAGCAATATCACGTCCGGGGACACCAGAAATGGCTTTCACTAGTTGTAGCCATGTTGGGAAACGAGCCTATGTCTTCGGCGTAACGAGCTATTTCTTACCAAGAAACTTCCTAACCCTTCATGGTATTCATAGCAAATATGTTTACATTAATTAATGAACTTGTATCTTACCTCTCCAAAGAGAACATTTGACTAAAAAATCTATTTTCTATATTTTATTCCATATTTGTATCGTCCTTTCCTTGCTAGGAAGGGAATGTTGGCCTACTGTGGATATCGTTAAAGTCACGACGAAGAAGGACCAAGACAACACAAATGAGGACTTAAAACAAAGCAAATGTCGATAGGTAGGATGAATGGTATTTATTTCTATAAAACATATCCACTCATCTCCTTCCAGGCCTTTCACTTTGACATGTGAGCTTAGTCAGACTATCGCTGATGTCCTTCAAAGCTTTCTTTCTATCGGTGAATACAAGGCTGGATTTTGACGCCACGTCCTTCATGGTTCCGATGGCCTGACTTTTCGTCAAAGCCACGACATAGATAACTGCCTTCCTCCTTAGACCACCAGCATCTTTCATAACGTTCATAGTGTTTCTGCTTCTTCCGTCAGTGAACACGATGACGACATTATCAGCGTCAGTGCGGTCACCGTTTTTCTCACTAAACACGTTGACGTCGGCTATTTTAACAGCTTTGTTAAGGAATGTTGGACCATGTTCTTTGGTAGCGTTCGCAATGGCTGCCAGGGCGGAACCCTTGTCTTGGAAGGTGTTTAGATGGAATCCCACCTCAGCTTCTTTTCCAAATACCACCTCAGCAACATGTAAAAGAGACAGATTTATTCGGGTATCATTGATCAGTTGAACTTCAAATTCCTTCATTGCAGCGTAGTCTTCAGTTTTCGTGACGGACGGAGACGCATCTTCTATCAGGAGAAGGTCTACCTTACGTTGAACGCATGCTGGAAAACCAATGTAGTGATGTATTAGTGGAATGCATTAGTTTGATGGATTCCAAAGATAGTTTATAACATGACGGAATCAAACAAAGGACTCGGCCTATGTTATCGGAAAGGTTATGTCGTTTTTATTTCGCATCGTACTTTGTTCCTATATGTTTGAAATATGTTTCACAAAAGGAAGTAATGCCCAGTTCAAAATGAATTGTCCCATTCTATTTAAAATATTATTTTTATGTTTTTATAACGAGCATATGTTTCTAGCGTTTCTAAGTGTTTGTGCGTGTGTAGTATCTGTGTGTGTAAAAGTGAATTTGACATTTTGAATTTAGTATGTGTCTGTGTGTTTGCTGTTTAACAGCGCCCTAGGCAATATTCAAGCTGTTTGACATAATAGAGTCTGGACCAGACAATCCAGTGATCGGTATTGTCAGCAACGATCAGAGAGCCTGACCACCCGATCCATTTGGTAGCCTCAGGACCAGATATGTTACTGAGAACCAATTCCATTCCAAAGTCCCCGCGGGGCCGCCTCATACAACTAGTTTCTAATTCGGAATCTCCATTCATGCGTTCATACACAGGTGTATAAGGTAGCTAGTAAACACGCAGTTACACACGTACCCGTCTCGCAGTATCTTCCAGTGGTTCCATAAGGACATTTGCACATGAAGGGTTCCCCGGAGGCCGGGCCGTCTTCACAGATGCCTCCATTGACACACACGTCAACTGCAGGGCAAGCCTCCCCGGCGGAATCTGAAAGCAAAATATACTAATGTACATTGTATACCAGTGTCAAAGGCTGTTTGAATGAATGTATATACACGGGATCAATCTGAAGTTACATAGTGCTTTATACCTGACAGAGATT